AGGAATTTCAGTGCGGGCAGCAGTGGGCACTGTGACCAGTCCTGAGTTATGGAGTGCCTACAACAGACTTTTGAGGACATTCTCCTCTCAGGCTGGGGACCTAAAACACTTCCCCTGACACAGCGGCTATCTGTGGTCCCACAGAGATGGTGACTCACCTTCCTCACTCCCTCATCAGTTGAAAACCGGAATCAGGATGTCCCATAGTCCTACTCCACATCCAGAGCACAGGAGAGCCTCGTTTCAGTAGCAGCCACTCCACTGCCCTCCTCCTCCAGCCCCTGGGGCGTTACCTGACCCTTTTGATGTAGACACCCAGGGATGGTAAAAAGGAAGCTTGCCCAAGATCTGATACTTTTTGATTTGCCACTTTTCCAGTTATCTGGAAGCCCACTGTCAGCCCTAGGACACTACAATAAGCTGCTGGGGTCCACTAAGAGCTGAAACCCTGGGCTGCAGGTAGCCTTGGTGAGCCATTCAGTCCCCTCTGGTCTAGCTGCCAGAGGACTAGGACCAATCAACCTTATAGGATATCAGGAGGGTGTAGTGGGGTAATCCCAGATGTTCTTGGTCCAGGGTGTACCACTCAAGCTCCCTATTTTACAGCCCTCTGCTTAAGGTTTCCTTGAAGCCTGCCACAGAAGAGCCTGCAAGACTAAGGTTCTGCAAGACTAAGGTTCTGGCCCGGTCCTTATTATGTTTCAGGAGACAGCTCATGGGACAGCTGTAGAAACCTTTGGGGACAGCCCTGAAACCTGCTTCTGCTAAGAGGGCCCAAAAGCCCAGGTACACTCAGCACTAAGCTCTACAGAGCAAGAAGTGTAAGAGGGCCAAGAGGCTGCCTGGATCCTTCCTCCAGCTGCAAGGTCCAAGGGCAAGTATGGTTCAGGTAGCACCAGGGCAGATGTACTCTGTATACTCGCAGTAATCAGCCTCACACTGAATTCCAGGAAAGCACAGGAATTTGTCTTCTGAAAGGCAGGAATATTCCTGGAAAGCAAGATGGGGTCTTCAGTTGAAGGAAAGGCTAGTGCGTGAGAGGACCTCAGCTCAAGCCCTTGTCCTGCTGAACCTCAGTTTCATTACCTGTAGCACAGGGATCTCTGTGGGTACTTCAAACCCCAACAATATATTTGCAACCTAAGCTCAGAGGGTGGGACATCTGACCTCTCCATTCTTCTAGACACATGCCTCAGAACACTGCAGCCCCAGTAGAGCAGGGGACAATGAGGTGGCATCCCTTACTATGAAACAGAATTCCTGGTAGACACCTGGGAGTCAGAGCCTCTAGTCCCCACCCAGCCAGGCCAGATCAGGCTCCCAGTGGGCCAGCATCTCTGAGCTGTCTCAGCTGGCACTGGGTGCAGGTCAGTTCCAGGTCAGAACTCCCAAGATGGCCAAGGTGGGCTTCTCGTGCCTCTTCCATTCTGTCAACTGTAAATTCAGTCATTCAGCCTTTCACAGAAACACCAGGTGGCTAAGGATGTAGCTCAGTGGAAAAGCATTTATGTAGCATGCTCAAAACTGGGTCCAGGGGGCCGGGGAGATGGCTCAGGAGAATAAGCGCTTCCCTGGCAAGCGCAAGGGCAGAGTTCAATCCCCAGTTCCAAAAAAAAAAAAAAAAAAAAAAAACCGGGTTCAAGCCAGGCCTGGTGGAGCATGCCTGTAATCCCAGCACTCTGGAGGCTGAGGCAGGAGGATCCTTGCCAGTTCAAGACCAGCCTGGGCTACAAAGTGAGCTCAAGGCCAGCCTGAACTGCATAGTGAGACCCTGTCTCAAAAAGATGGAGAAGAAAGAAGAGGAGAAAGAGAGGAAGAGGAGGAAGAAGAAAAAAAGGAAGCGGAGGAAAGAGGAAGAGGAGGGGAAAAAAAGACTGGGCTCAAGTTCAAGAAATACACACACACACACACACACACACACACACAGCAAAAACAAGCAGAAAGGCTATGACTATTGGGAGTATAAGAAAAGAGCTTCCTGGGATTTTTAAAGAACTTTTGGAGGGGCCGGTCAAATAGCTCAGTGGATTAAAGCCCGAAGTTCGATCCCTGGGCCTGCTGTGCTGAGACAGCAATTGAGACTGGGTGAGGTGACACATGCCTGTAATCCCAGCCATTGGGAGGCTGAAAACAGGTGGATCACTACAAGTCTGACCTAGTAGTGAGAGCCTGAACACCCTATAGACCCTTTCCTAAAACACCAAAAAAATAAAGAACTCTTGTACTCTATGTCAGATTCCTGTTTACAAGGCCAAGATGTTGAAAGGTTCTTCAGAAACCTTGCTCACCTCCCAGTTCTCTCACTCTGAGGAAATGCCAGCTCTCTCCAAGCAATGACAGGAGGATACAGGGCTGGAGCAGTTCAGGCTGGCAGTGTAAGGAGGGTGCTCCATCCCTCCACCATGGCCATGCCATCTCTCAGAGGAGAGGTGCTCCGGGCAGTGCATTTCAAAACATGCTTCTCAGGGGCCAGGGAGATAGCTCAATAGAATAAGTGCTTTCCTGGCAAGCATAAAGGCCTGAGTTCAATCTCCGGTTCTGCAAAAAATTAAATAAATAAATAAAACATGCTTCTCAAAATTCTTCTAGCCTCTGGCCATTTCCAGTTTCCAATTCCAAAGCTACCTACTTCTATTTTTAGGTGTTTACAGCAGCACTCTTCTTTGCATGCCAAAAATCTGTATTAGTTTTCTATAGCTGCTGTAATATCTTACCACAAATTCAGTGACTTGAAACATCAAAAATTTATCCTCTTACAGTTTGAGAGGTTGGAAATCCAGAATCAGTTGCACCGGGCTTAAATCAAGGTGTCCACAGGGTCACATTCTTTCAGGGCTCTAGAGGCTGTCTGCATTCCTTGGCTCTGAGCCCCTTCCTCCAGGAACCACATCACTTTGACCTCACTCCCATTACCACGCCTTCTTTTGCTCCAACATGCTGGCCTGCTTCTTATAAAGACCCTCAGTGATTACACCATGTTTACCAAAAAAATCCAGGTAATTAGGAATTTCATCTCTGAATTCTTAATCACATCTGCAAAGTCCCTTCTGCCACAAAGTCACAGGTTTGGGGGGATGAGGATGTGGGCATCTTTGGGGGTCATTACCCTACTTACCACCGGTTAGGGTGCTTGCCAGCCCCAAACCAGTCCAGGAATCATACCCAGGTGGGGGGGGGGGTCATGAAGGATCAGGCCATTTATTTAGCCATCAGTTTGACTGCCCATGGCCAAGAGCTCCAGGAAACCTGGTGCCTGTCCCTGCTGCCGCCAAGGACAGCCTGTTCTCCTGGTGTGGCTATTGTGCAGGGATCAGATGCACTTGAGCCCTCTGTGGGGTAGTGGTTCAACTTGAACAGCTGCCTGGCTTAGGCAGGAGGCCAGCCCCTCACAGCTTCCTCTGCTGACCGGAATACATAAGAGGTGCTGACAGGTCACAGATGGGCCATGTAGGAGTTCCAATATGTTTCTAGAACATATTCTAGAAAATGTTCACCTTGTTACTTTATTGGTGGGTGTCTAATGAACTTGAGTATGTCAGACTCCCAGGGGACCCGAGAGAGATGAGACAGGAAGGTTTCCAAATGCATGGGACAGAACATCATTGACAGCAGCAGATAATGAGCCAGGGCAGGCAGGGAGAATGGAGAGGTCAGAGCAGGTGTTCCAGAGGAGGAAGCACTCATGTTGGAGCTTGGGGTGGGATGGGGTGGGGTTTGGACTAGTGGTGGCAAAAGAATGCGGGGAAGGTGTGTTCCAAGTGAAAGTACCGCAGGAAAACTTAAGTCCAGGGAAGTAGAGCCTCCATCCACCCAAGGTTACTTCCTGATGCTGGGGAGACTCCAGGACCTGAACCCAGGCTGGTGTGGTTCCAAACTGTAGCTCAATATCCAAGGCCTAATCAAGCCAGTGGCGGCAGGCTTGAGGCCTCAGCCTTGCCAGTCTGCTTGGCTTGGACTTTATTCCCAGTGGAAGCAAACCCCATATTTTTCTGAGAAAAAAGCTGTCCCAAGGGGTGGTTTCTGTTCCACTGACCCCAGCTGCCCTGACACTGTTCTCCATCATTACTCTCTTGGGTGCTACATGCCAGACACTAGGGCTCTGGGACCTGCAGTCTGGCCTCTGCCAAGGCAAATGTGCTCCCCAGCAATATAATGCTCCTAAGGTAGAGACCCAACTTCTTTTTCCACCTGGCCATTTGCTATCATGAAATGATAAGGTCCTCAGACAGGCCACATCTTCTCTTGGTAACCCTAGACTGTCTGGACAGTAGACACACGGCAACCAGCCTGTATCCTCCACCTGGTCGACTAAAAGTAAACAAGGGTGCCACTTGGCATTGCCTCTGGACTCAGAAGAACAAGCTTCTTCACAGGAAAAAGGTCTGCCTGTAGTGCCTCAGCAGCTGCAACGCAGCTGTCCTGGCTCCAGCTGAAGATGTTGTTGCCCAGCAGACACACTGCCTCTGGCTACCGCACTGAGGTCAGGCCCCTGAAAGCACCAGGAGGTGGGGAGGAGGGTCTGGTGGCCTGCCATGCTCCTTAGGAGTTACCCTGATGCCTCATGCCAGCACTCACCAACCTAGAGGTTTCCCATTAAGGCTATGGGCATGATTGCTGGGCACAAATCTGTAGAGATTAGAGCTGAAAGCGAGGTCACAACTTGGTATTCACTGTCTTGTCTTCTCCCTGCCCCTGGCTCCAACCTGGAAGAGATGAGTGAATTGAAACCCAAGAGTTAACTTGGGTGGGATGTTTAGCTTAAATATACAGTGCACAGGAATACGGGTACACTCCTCTAACTCCAGCACTTGGGAGCCTGAGGCAGGAGAATCACTGAGTATGAAGACAGCCTCATCTCCATAGTAAGTTTATTTTTTTATAACGTTTTATTTTTTTATGTTTATTTTTATTTTTTGGCGGAACTGGGGATTGAACTCAGGCCCCTGCACTTGCCAGGCAAGCGCTTATTCTACTGAGCCATATCCCCAGCCCCACCATAGTAAGTTTAAAGCCAGCCACAGTGAGACCCTGCCTCATAAAACTAATCAATCTATCAATCAAAGCTACAAATTAAGATAAACAAAAGCCCTTCTCAGCTGTGCTGGCTCAAGCTTTTGGTTATGTGACTGTGAGTGGGAAACTCCAGAATTGTGTGCTGAGACTCCCAGCCCCATCCTTTCCTGGAAGCACACTCAAAGCCTGGGGCCAGCCAGGGAACTGTACAAGTGCACTGGCTGGTGGAGGACTGCTCAATCCAAGGCGGGAGCTCTCGGTACAGGACTCTATGGTATCAAGGACACAAGTGAATGTCCTGCCTCTACCAGACAGAGAACTAGCAAGAGGAAGCTCTCACCCTTGCACTGTTCAGGGATTGGGGGCAGGGCCCTACAAAGCACAGCAAAACAATTAGGTTGCCACTTGTCAGTCTTTTGATACTGTTTTCACTATCCACATTTCCCAGAACCTGAACAGCAATCCCACCACAAAGCACAGGAGTGACGTGTCTTCAGTCACAGTGGTGTGATGGATCTGGACTGGGGACTTGGTTCTGCCCAGCTTGTCAGCCAAACTGTGGGTGCCCTGTTCTTGGCTGCCCCAGAAAGGACACCTCCAGCCTTGCTTCCAAGTCTCTCAGAAGTGTGCATCATGAAGAATCACAGAACCATGGGAGTGCTGCAAGCACCTGGGTTCTAGAAAGCATCATCCACCACTCCTAGAAGGGTCAGACAGGCACCCTGGCAGGCTAGAGCTCTGGCCAAGTTTCTGTAGGGCAGCTGCACTACGGCCCAGACTTTTGCACATGCAGGAACCGGGGCCTGATGAAACAAGAACAAGAACTGGTGAATTCCAGGGCTTTGGGGCATGCATAGTGTACTGGTAGGAAGAGGAAGGATCACCGTGGCCACAGAACCGGGGGTGGATAGGGCCTTACTTCCCACAGAAGTCTCTGCGCACGGCCACAAGATTGAGGTGCAAATCAGGCTGACTTTGGAGCCAACTGCTGACAAGCTCAGGGTGCCTTGGGTCCACTTCCAAGAAGATGCTTCTACATGGGGACAAAACAGGTCAGCTCAATTGGGCAGAGCTGGGACTTACAGTTTGGGTTGCCTAGGTTGAGAGAGGTAGAGGCAGAATAACTGCCAGGGTGTGCCCAGTACACACAGGGAGCAGAAGAGCTGGGGACAGAGCCATCCATACCCAGAATGCTTCAGGAGCTGAGGTGCCAGGGTCAAGATGCTGGTAATGACGTCCATGCCCTCCTCTCCACCATCCAGGGCCACTGGATCTTCATAGCTGAATAGGTAAATGGTATGAGGGTGACACCCTGGTAGGTGCAAGGTAGGGTAGCACATGTCTGAAAAGTAGATCCAGTCAAGGCTTCCATAAGATGGGGGTCCCCTGGAACTCAGACCCCAGACTGAGAGACAAGCATGGGCCGTAATGCCATCAGATAATACCGGGTATGTTGCTGAATCTCAATGAAAGTCTGTCCCATGATATGGAAGTTTCCCTCAGTGGGGTGCTTACAACAAGTTTTGGTCTAGGAGGTCTAGAGCTGATCCTGACCACCTATGAGAACCCAGAAAGAGGGGAGCCGGCACTCTACCCCATACTATCACTCCCTTCAATGGCTCCTTGGCTCCTCTGGTCCTGAGCCCAGGTAAAAGCAGGATGACTTGTGCAAAGCCTGTGGGAAGGTTTTAGTCTGAGTTTTCCTCTTACGTCCCAGACCTTAGACAAGCACCTTCGTGCTCTGGACCTCTCTTCTGTACAATGACACACCCATCTTGTCAACCCACTGAACACGTATCAACCCTCATGGTGTCCAGGTCACTGAGGCTTCCCCATGGCCCTGCAAAGCGCTACTGCTTCTCCTTCAGAGGCAGGAAACTAAGGCTCAGAGAGGAGTCTCAAGTGGCAAGCAAAGTGAAGTGGGGAGGTACAAGCTGAATCTAACAAGGACTGTGGGCGCTAAAGTGTAGAGTACCTCTAAACATCACTGCCCCTCTCAGCTGAGTCCCACCCCCAACCCCTCTCCACCACTATGGTTCTCCAGGGCAGGCAGTCCAATCCTGCTAGGCTTTCTCAGGCCTGCCCCACTCAATACCTGCAGATCTCTGGGGCCAGCTGCTCTATGTCCTGATGGAAGATATACGGAGGGTTGCTGACAACCAAGTCCATAGGGCCCCATGGCAAAAGATGCATCCAGCTCCCTTCTGTGGTCAAAAGAAGAGACACACAGCATGACTAGCTCATCGAGGGGAAAAAGGGGTGGTAGCTCTACTTGCCACCATGTCCCCTGGGTAGTCTCTCTTCCTAAGCCACATCCTGGGGCTGTCACCAGATCTGAAGAGCCACACTTAAAGATTAGTGTCCTTAGGGGCCGGGGAGATGGCTCAGTGGAATAAGTGCTTCCTTGGCAAGCACAAGGGTCTGAGTTCAATCCTCGGTTCCAAAAAAAAAAAAAAGATTAGTGTCCAGAGTCCCTAGCTAGTAGCATGACCAGGAGTGTGCATCCAGGGCCTTTTGCACTGAGCACACACCTTTTATTCTTTTTTTTTTTTTTGTGGTACCAAGGTTCGAACTCAGGACCTTGCTGGGTAAGCTCTTATTCCACTGAGCTATCTCCCCGGCCAGGAATGTGAATGTTCTGAAAAGACTTCCACTGAAAAAGTCCTCGCTTACTCTCTTTCTAGTCAAACCTTCTTGATAAGCAATATTTACTTCAGGACCAGGGAGATGGCTTAGTAGAATAAGCGCTTCCCTGGCAAGCTCAAGGGCCTGAGTTCAATCCCCAGTTCCTAAAAAATAAATAAATAAATAAATAAATAAATAAATAAATAAAATATATATATATATATATATTTACTTCAAGTGCCACCTCCAGTAAACTCCATGGTTGTCTGAGGAAAGCAAAAGCCTCTTTCTTCTTTAACTCACTGGCACTGCCACAGTCAGCCTTACAGTCACATAGTCTGAGAGCACATGGAGGGCAGGCCCAGCCTCAGCCAGCTGATGCCTAGCAGCTATTTCTTGGTCTCACCCTGTGCCAGGTACTATATTGCTTGTATCACATGTCATGGAGGAAGCGCATGAGGATAGGGACCCCACAGCAATGTGACGCAGCCAGCACCAGAGGTGGAAACTTGAGGACCACGTGAAAGCTGAAACTGGTCCATGCAGTTCTGGGCTACATCTTCTTAGGTTGGATAAGAGTGGGGAGGGCACACAAGTATTTTGGTCCCATGGGCTTTCTTTTAAGCCAGTTCATCTCTTGTCAATAAGTAAACTGCAGTAAAACTCATTAGTTATGGGGGGTTAAGAAAGTAAGAAAAACCCTGTGATTGGTCCCTTCCTGGTCATGTCAGCTGAGGAAGTGACAACACCTTGTCAACCTCATCAAGGACTGGTCTGAGAAGTCCTGTGAACATGTGACTACTGGGTAACCCTCTCCCATCTCTGCAGGTGCCTTGTCTACCCAGCAGCACCTGAGCTAAGATTTTCAATCCAAGGAAGTGGGGGAGGGTACCTGAGGTCACATCGAGGGGGACGATCCAAATCCTGTCTTGCAACTGAAGCCTGGAGACATGGGGAAGAGGGAGTGAGTATGAGGGGGACAGACCCCTACCCTTGTCTACAAGGACAAGAAGGGCTAGTGACCCTTCTTAGACCAATGCCAGATCACCATTATTACATCTCCCTTCTTTGGAGTAGATATCAGACACTGGTGGGTTTGACAGTGAATAAAGGTGAAGTTCATCTCCAAGGTCCAATTCCCTGATACGCATCCACTGGCTTCCTGGCCTCCCTACCTCTGAGCATTTTCACAGGTCAAGCTGATGGCGGCTTCCTCTTTATCCACAGCAATGACTTGGCTCTGTCCAAAGCAAAAAACGAGAGGCAGAGTGCTGGGAGATGCAGGTCCCACCAGAGGAAGTCACATTTCCCACCAAGAAGAAACACTCAACACTGTTTCCCTCTATAGCCAGAGCCTAGCTAGACAGCTGGGGATGAGAGCTAGAGGCTGTGACCATGTTGAGTTGGGACAGTCTTAACCTTCCACGTCCGGTCATCTTCCCTCAGGTGTTTCTAGCAGAAGGATGTGGGGGAAGGGTCCATGGGGGCAGTGCAGGTCACAGTTTGGGAAGGGTAAAACAGAGGAGTAAAGAGGGAGCTTACCTTGGGGAGCTGAGTCAGCAGGCTGAGGGAGATGGCTCCCGATCCACAGCCCACCTCCAGAATACGTGGGCCATCTTGAGCTTCCATCACATGGGGCCTCTGGGCCATCTCCTCTAGTACCCATTCCACCAGTTCCTGTGAGGCAGAGGAGCCTGGATCAGAGCTGGTTCCAACCTGACTGCCAGGGTTCTTGGCAGAGAGACCCAACCAGTTAGCCTGAATGACTATAGAAAGTGGCTTGGCCAAAGTCAGGCTGACTTCATGTCAATTGGGTCCATGGGCAGATCTCCCTGGCTTTTAATGCTTCAGTTTCCCCATCTGTAAAACTCAGCCCAGTTAAGCACAACCTTCTCCATGGGGGATAAGCCATGTTCACAAAGTATTGGTCCAACACCTTTTGCATAATTAGTGTACAATAAACCCCAGCAGAGCCCCTTCCAGATGTTTTCCTGTTTCACGCTCACAGATGGCTCCTGGCCACTGTCTCTGTGCTTGCCCTAGTTCCTGATGATTTCCTTGTATTAATCTATTGGATCCTCACAATAGATGGCTCATGAAGAAACTAAGGCCCAAGGGTCAAGGCCCCACCTGGAGCCTGGTCTATGGATCACAGCACTTAAAATCAAAGTCTGAGAGCTGTGGGTACAACTCAGCAGTACAGCACTTGCCTGGCAGGGAAGGGGAAGGAAGGAAAGGGATGGGAGGAAGGGAAGGCAGGATGGTGGGAGAAGTAGTGAGCCAGGGGCTGGTCTGTCTTTAGCTTCCTCATAGAGATGAATTTGGGAGGTCCCCAGAGTGACCTTTAAGCCAAAGGACAGAATTCTCTCTATGAGATGGAGACACAGTCCCACCTAAGTCCTCTATCTTGTGGCATACACTGGGTCTTTTGGCATACACAGAGCATGGGGAAAGGGGGCATGTGTGTGGGAGGTGAGGCCTGACTGACTTTGGCTGTGGGAGGATACAAACACCGTCACTTCGGATACAAAAGGTTTTTGTGTCTCACCCACCACCTGCTGCCTGCAGGGACTGTGTATGTATGGGACAGTCCCCTGCAGGGAGAGAAGTCAACCCAGGGTAGGGGTAGGGTGGAGGGTGGCTGCTGTGCAGTGGTTGAAATACTTTCAACCAACACTGGAACGGGGCCCCGAGGAACCAGTCAAAGAACAGGGAAAAGGGCAGCATGGCCCTTTCTGAAAGATACCCTTTGGATGTTGGTAGGAGCCAGGGAGTGGCCCAGAGTGTGCAGACTAGAGCTGTGGTTGAGAGCCTGTGGTAAAGCATGTGCCAAGAGGCCAGTAGGGTAAGAGTTGTCAGGGGTGTAAGCCTCGTGGTTTCTTGGTTACAGACTGCCCGCTCTAGCTAGAGGATGACCTACACTAGCCAGTCACCTTTCAGAGATCTCCCTGGCCTCAGACACACAGCACCCATGTGAACAGCCATCCAGGGCAGGGATAAGACTGGAGGGCTGAGCTCCCCTCCTCCATGACCCCTTGCTCTCCCTCCTACTCCAGATCACAGGAGGTTCATCTTGGTTAGGGGACCATCGTGGGGCAGTGGTGACCACTCTCAGGGGGTCTAGAGAGGCCCTCTTCCCAAATACTAAACTCCCTCGCCCTGAAGCTGGGGCTATTTGGGGAAAACTGAAAGCTAAGCATGTCATAGACCCTGAGCATCTCTTCCAGGTGAATATGGGAAAAATTTAGAAGAATGGATGGAGGGCCAAGGGTACATGGGCATGAGGAGGGAGTAGGCAGCTACTGTCCACAGCCCCAACATGGACTCCACAGCCCCCTAAGAGGGTGACCAACAGTCTCAACAGAACCTGAGTGCCATACACACCCTCTACTTGGATCCTAGAAGGTCCCACTACCTCTCCCAAAGACAACCTAGACAAAGCATTGAATCTCCCTGTCCCCACACAACCTCACCACACTAGGCCAGGCCAGATGGCTCACATCCCACACTTGGGTTTCCTACTGTACACACTGTCTTGTGGAAGACTCAGCCACCTAGTACCCCCAGGGAAACCCCAACTTACCAAGCCACAAGCTACTTGTGACTTTGTACCCATCATCAGAAACTTCCCTCAGTGATGGAGAGAACAGTCACTATACTCCCTCCCGTGCAGCCTTCTCCCCACTCCCTGCCCTGGGCCACATCCTCTTGAGTTCTTGGTAAATCACCCCCGCCCCACTGTGGCTTATGCTGGGGCAAACCTGGTAAGTTCTCAGAATTCTCTGTACAGTCAGGTAGGGGCTGCCTCCCAACCACAGCATCCCCCGTCCCCATCTCTTGCAGCAAAGCTACTTTCCTGGCCCACACCCACTGAAGGGAGGGTGGGCACATGGAAACTGAAGCTTACACACAATGCTAAGAAACCCAGAACACATGGCTGGTTCCAGGTCACCTCTGCAGTGATTCAAAGGTCACTATGAGAGCTGCCCCCCGCCCCATGCTCTGACCCTTGGCAGCCTCAGAAATTGGCAAGTTGCCTCCTGATTAAAAGCCATGTATATGGATGTGTGTGTGTGTGGCTACAAGATGGTCTCCCAAAAGCCTGTAAATGGCAGATCACATCCTGCTCTGGATGCCTACCCTACATGAGACAACCCCATGTGAGGAGCTGGAGAGTCTAAGTGCTATGCCCACATTTTCCCTGATAGCCCTCATCAAGGTCTCACATTTCCTATAGTCCCTTCCCTAACACTGGTTGTGAGGTAAAGATCCAGTCTCCTAACCACATGATATGGTGGTGAGAGGAGTCAGAGGGTTTCTTGGCTGGGGGACAGAGGCCAGAGGTGCAGGAGAAGGTCTGGATCCCTATATAGGGCAGGTGGAAGGGTCATGACCCTGCTTAGGAATTTTAGTGTCCTTGGGTATCTTTCTAGAAACAATGCTTCACAGATCCTGGTGCCCTCTGACTTGCCTACAAGCCCTGGTCTGCTCTCTTTGGTCAGCTCTGCCATCTACAAAGTAAGATAGGAGACCGCAGCCCATAGAAAGCAGCTCTCCCAGGATCAAGCTGCCTCACTAAGGGGTAGCATGTTTGGGTCACACATGTCTATTTATTCAATTTGAGGGACAGCTGTATATAATAAGTATGTCAGACAGTGGACTAAGAGAACCTCAAATCACAGATTCCCTGGTCTGACCATCCAACCTGTTCGTCATCTGGGCCCAGGAGGGGCAATGACCTGCCTACAGTCCCATAGCTCATATGAGGCATCCAGGAATCTAGCTACAGTGCTCTCTGCTTCTCCTGTACAACTTTTAAGAAGCTGTTGGAGGGTATTAGTTCCTCATGGGTTGGGAGGGCCATGGGCCTATACAGTAGCTCCTAGGGCAACTATAAACGTAGGCAGCATGCCAGGCGCGGTGGAACATGCCTGTCATCCCCGCACTTGGGAGGCTGAGGAAGGAGGATCGTTGTGAATCTGAGACCAGCCTGGGCTACAAAGTGAGTTTATGGCCAGCCTGAACTACATAGTAAGATTTTGTTTCAAAAAGACCAAAAAAAAAGGCTGTATATTTGGACATCTCTATTTGGGGTATACTCTGTCAGTCCAGAGAACTTGGGTGATGGCTTGAGACACAAGAACAGTCAATAGAGCCAACAAGAGTCCTCTGTATTCTTGACTCCAGCCAATCCAGCTAGCAAGGAGACCTAGGTACGAAGGACACAGCCTCTGAGAATGGCAATCATTAGGCCCTAGCACCCCCTGGAGGAAGTCTAGGAAAAGACAGGTACCCTGAATTCCATCTCATCCTTGTCCTGGTGGCACACTCACCTCTGTCTCAGGTCGAGGAATGAATACTGGGGGTGCCATCTTCAGACTCAGCCCTTGAAAGTCCCATTCCCCAAGAATGTACTGCACAGGCATCCTGCAGAGAGGGAAGCCAGGTGGTATCAGTGCGTAAGCCAGGACCAAGCCTGGGGGTCAAGGCTGTCATGCAAGGCCATGTCTGTGTTCTGGGACAGCCTGCCTAGGCTTGTCCTCACTCTCTTTTTCCTTTACACCTTGGTCCTCCTCTTGCTAATCCCGTATCCCAATACATCCCTAGTCCTTAGACACTTACGTCCTCCCTGGCCATGAACTTGATGGGGATGAGAGAAGCTGTGCTCCCCACACAGGGCCCTCAGGGTTGACCCATGGGGGCTCACCTCTGCAATCGGCAGCTACATAGCTCCTGAACACACTGCAATTGTTGAGGAGTCAAGGGTTGGGTCCAAAGTACTGGCTGCAAGCTCTGAAACTATCCCAAGAAAGAATGTGAATGGTTGTTTCCCCTGGTCAAGGGCCCCGACCCAAGGTTTCTTATGTGGAAAATCCCCATGAGCCCAGCACTGGCCACTTCAATCATCTCTTAATTCCTACTATATAGCACATTGCAACTTTTTTTGGCAGACCTAATAAGTACCTACCTAACACATTCCTTCAAAAAAAGAAATCCCTCCCCCGCAAAAAAACAATAACAAAAATAAATAAAAACAAAAAAAGAAATTCCATCTATCTCAGCTAAGCACTCTTTTTTTAAAAGATATTTAGTATATGGTCTACAGGGTCTCACTACACAGATCAGGCTTGTAGTGATCCTCCTGTTTCCAGCCTCCCAAGCGCTAGGATTACAGGGGCACACCACTCCCAGTCTCAATTACCATCTCAGCATGCCCCAGGGGCATAGCTAGCATGGCACGAGGGGATCAAACCTTGGTCCCTGCATCTGCCTAAGCAGGTGCTTTAATCTGCTGAGCTATCTGGCTGGCCCTCAGCTAAATACTCTTAATGAGGCAAATTCTAGATGTCTCTTCCCCAGTGTCCTCCCATTTCCCATAACATTGCACTTAACTGTTTTGGCTCCAAGGACATGAGCCACGATATATTCACTGGATTCTCGGGCCTCTGGGATGCCTCTCTTTTCAAAGACTCTTGTCCAGTGGCTGACCAACTCTGTGGGACTTAACAGCCTGGGCTGAGGTAGATAGGGTGGCCATAAGCCAAAGGCCCAGCCCTGGATGCCTCCTCTCCTCCCTCTCAGGCCAGATAGAAGGGTCCACAGCATTCGGGCCCAAGGCCCCATGTCTTTGGAAAATGCTCAAGTGCAATGGGCTCCTGTCTTCCTCAGCCACTGAGGTAGTCCAGGAAATGGTCTCAGGCCTGGATGGATGGACATGAGAAATCACATGCTCTGGGTTTGGTTCCTAAATGGTTTTGGTCTTCAAAGTGGTTGTCACCCTAAAGGGAGGGAGAGAAGAAGGAGTTGTCAAAGAAAGGACATGCTTGCTTGTCACCTTCTTGACTTCATTTAGACCTTCATCCAGCTACTTCATTTTTCTTATATTGGCCACTTGTTTTCTTCACATTTTTGGCAGAAGTAGGCTTGGTCTCTGTAGCTCAGTCTCTGCTAATAAACAGACTGGTGGTGAGAGAGGACATATGTTTAAGGACAGAACAGATATATTGGGGCTGGTGAGATGGCTCAGTGGTCTAAAGCACCTACTTAGAACAAGCTTAGCAAAAAAGCACAGGGACCATGGTTCAATCCCCCAGCACCACAGTCCCCTGGTGGGCTGAGCTGGCCACACAGACACACACACACACATAATAAAATTAAAAAAAAAAAAGATTTATTTTTGGCTCCAGTGCATAGGACCTTGAGAAAGTCATTGTTTCTTTTTTAATGTATTTGTTTGTTAAGGGTCTCACTATGCAGCTCAGACTCAGTGATCCTCCTGTTTTCAGCCTCCCCAGCGCTGGGATTACAGGCATAGATCACTACAACCACCCCGGACTCTGTGACCAGCTCTGCCCCCCCCCCCCCCGCAGGGCTGGTGCAGCACGTGATGTTGGGGATTGAACCTCGGTCCCTGCGCTTGCCTAAGCTTGCCTAAGCAGGAGCTTAGTCTGCTGAGCTATTTTGCCAGTCCCTGAAAGTTATGATTTCTGATTTTTATTTTCTTCATCCTTACAATGAGGGAAATAACAATACCAACCCCATGGTGAGGGATGCACTGATCAAGGCATGTCTAGGCTCTGGGAGCCAGCGCATCATACAGCAAGGTGTTACAGGCTCTAGTATCACCTGTGGTAAGAGACTGTCTTGCTTGGGAGCTTTGTTTATGCCACTTTGTATGTACTGTTATTTGGATGCTGAAGCTCTCCTAATTTAACTCATAATCCCAGACGTCGGCATAAATTTCCAATTTAAACATTTTAAATGTTATATCTAAGTTGTCACAAATACGCTTAACTGAAGGTTTAAAACCAGTTGTTCACTCTACTTCCAGAAAGACTATGGTCCAACCTAGCATTTACCAAGCACTGCTAATTGTCACATTCTCAGATACAAACTAGCTCCAGCTGGGGGCGCAACAGGCTCAGCTTCATCCAGCCAGGATGATCCCAGCAAGGAAAAGGACAGGAGTCTGCTGGACGCCAGAAGCGACTCTGCCCACCTGTGCAGTGCCCCGGGAAGAACCAACCCCGAAGCCAGGGTTGCATCCTCCTTCCCAGCGCCGCACGGATGTTATCAAAGACCCAGAGGAACTTGCCTCTCTCTGAGCCTGTTTCCCCATCCGTACCACGACGGAGGGCTGGCCATGTCTCAGAGAGGTTGCAGTCCACTGCGCGCCCATCGCAAACCCCCTCTCTAATGCCTACCGGCCTCAGGGGCTGTGCTGCCCACCCACCGGCCGGAGAGACCAAGCGAGTTTCGGCTCCCGGAAGCACGCGGCCCGCAATGTTCCTCAGACTCAACGCTTCCGGGTCGGCGCAGTCGAGAAAGAGCTCGGGCAGGCCCTTGTCGCCCGGCTCCTGAGTTCCTAACGCGCTAAGTCCCTCCAGGAATACCCCTCTGGAGTGTGAGAAAAGGTTCTGAACTCTACCGCCAAAAGCAGCTCCAGAGACAGGAACTGCAGTGGTCCCTAGAGGGGTCTTTCTTAAGCTCACCGTAGGTATAAATTACTGCCCAGAGCAAGAGCTCAGGAACCAAGGATGGGAGGCGTGCGGAAACAGTCCAAATAGTAGGCGGGGACCGAGGCGTGGCACTTAGACGCCCCGGTATGGGGGCGGAGCCCGATGGCTGGAGGCGTGGCCGGCACAGCTTGAGGGCGGGGTCCAGTCCTGGAGGCAGGGCCCGCTGTAGGGGCGTGGCACAATGCAGTCCCCCAGGAGGGGACCAGAGCAGGCGTGGACCCTACCCGAGACCAGCTCTCTACCTCGCTAGCGCCTAGGGTTTGGAGCCGGCACCTCAAACCCGACAAGGGTTTGAATTCTGATTCTGTTGGCCATTCGTCGCACAGCTTTGTCCAAGTGCCCGGATGTGTGTGTTCTCTTCAAAAACATTCATAGCAGTGTCAAGCAAGTATTTTGTCACCTCCTGACAAAATCTACTGATAAATCATCAGTTACCTAAATGACTGTTTAAAACGTGGTTTTAAACCTGAAGAGCCGCAAGCATATGCATTTATACCTAGCTACTCCACGATCTCCATAAGTTCCTTTAAGACCTGCCCTTAAGAGGGTGTGTGCTGGCTCCCTCCCCAGCGCCAAACACACACACACACACACACACACACACACACACACACACACACACACACACAGTGCTGCAAATGGAGTAACTGTGATGGATGCAAGGTAGTTCGCCTGGTCCAGCTGCCAAATGATGCTACCAGTATAATCCTTCCATCGCGCGCCCTCCGAACCCCATTTCTGACCCAGGGTTGGAATCACTTACCAAGAGCCCTCACCCCACACCCCCCAAGAAGCAGGAGGCCGAGATACAGGGAAGGGAAGCAGCTTGCTCAAGGTCACAGTCGTACAGCCCAAAAGGACTCCCAGTCCAGTCCTCTCCCGAGCCTCCTTTCTACCTCTGTGAGGTTGGTTGTTTTCTGGGGTAGGAGCGGCCTGTCCAAGTGCCAGTGTGGCTGGCCTGGAACCCGCGTTGTAGTCAGACCGCGACTGGTTGAGGGATGGTCTTAAAGAACCGGGACCCGGCTCCAGGCTCCAGACTCCCGCTGGGGGCGGAGCCATACCCGAATGACGGGAGAGCGAGCCAATGTAGAGCCGGCTCTAGGCCTGCTACCCAATCGGAGGCCAGGGCGCGGAGAGGGTCGGAGGCCGGGCGCCAGGCTGGGATCCCCAGAGGCCGCTCGGCCCGGCCCACCCAGCTGTGGCCTAATCCTGCCCACCTACCCAGGCCGGCTGTCGGCGCTCGGTCACTGGCTCAGATTGTACAGGCAGGGCAGACCTGTCGCCCCTTCACCGGACCTGGGTGTCCGTCCCGCCCTGGCCTCCCGCCCTTCTCTGCCACCGTTAGCCTCTCACTGAGCTCGGAGTCCCAGAGCGGATTAAGTAAGTGCTGAGGTCGCCGCTTCTGTGCTGGAATGGATGAATCGCAGGGTAGTGGAGTCGAGCATGCGAGGGATTGAGGCAGGGAGGGGAGGGCTTGAGGCAGGGAAGATAGAGGTACCTGGTGGAGAATGGCTTGTGGGTTCTCGAAGGTCGCTGTGCCGACCCCTTCCACCTCATTTTGCTTCCGTTCCCTTTGGCCCAGGGGACAGACCCAGAAGGTGGCCGACAGGGGTCCTTCTTCCACTGGGGGAGTAAACCTAGCCTCTGTGCATGTTAAGGGTCTAGCCCAAGGTCATGCCTGCAGTCAGTGGCCGGGATAGAAAAGAACCTCTGACGCCTAATCTATCCTAGCTGGAGCGAGAGGGCTGAGAAGGATGGGTCTACACTACCCATGTCCCTCTGCCAACCTTGTTACTTCCTAAGGGCCATCATGGTTGTGTGCATATCTCACACACCCATGCACCTGCACAAGGAAGCACCCACGTATATCCATAAGCTAGTTGCATAGGGAGCCACATGTGCAGGCATGAGCTATGAACCCCTCCTCTCTCTAGGCCTGCCCATCTGCAGTGTGGGTGGGATCCCTTCTACCCACTTTTCCTGGAGCTCTCTGAGCTCAGCATATCTGTCCTCTGCTTGGAAGAGGAAGGGAAATGAGAAGGCAATTCAAATTAGGCACTCCATCCCTGCCTCTGAAGATATGCTGCCCTTGCCTTGTTCTTTGTCCCTGGAAGTTCCCAGCTGTCCTTCGAAGGAAGGGGGTCCAAGGACCCCTCCCAAGCCTGCAGAAAAGCCCTTCCAGAGGATCTGGCCTAGTCTCTCCTTCCTGTTTCCTGTTCTTTCTCCACCAGTCTCCATCCCCATTCTAAGCACAGACTGGACCAAATAGCAGACTGGCCAGGGGTCTCCTGTTGAGCATGCTTTATAACAGGATTGGCCAGGGGAAGAAAATGAAACATTTACTGCATGCTCACTGTGGGCAGGGCTTCTCTAGGGACCTGTTCACTCTGACATTTTAGTAACCCTATAATGAATGCTATGGGTTATTCTTAATGCCCTCACCTTAGACTCAGGAAAACAGACACAGATATCAAGTGAGAGAAGCCTAGAATCCCCTAGTTAAGTGGCTGAGCCAGAACGGGACTTCAGGGAAAGAAAAGGCTACAGTTTTTACCCAGGCAGGATGAAGGATATGGGGGACAAGGAATGAAGAGGTAGAGAAAGGAGGGATGAGAGGAGGTAGAGGTTATTATGTAGAGGAGGGACTTTTTCTTCCAGCTAACCCCAGTACCTTTCCTATCTTCTGAGTATGGTCACTATGAACATCTTACAGGGTCTCATTGTGAAGCTTAGACTCCTAATGATCCTCCTGTTTTTAGCCTCCCCAGCTCTGGGATTACAGACATGCACCACCACACCTCATCTGGGTGACTGACTCAGTGCACCCAGGAGGTGGGCCTCTTTGGCATGTGGTGCCGGAATGAAACTTGGTCCCTACGCTTGCCTAAGCAGGCGCTTAGTCCACTGAGCTATCTCACCGGCCGTAGAGCTTCATTTTCATGTTCCCAAATCCATACAGAAACTGTACTTGTAGAAACTGTACGGTGCATATGTGTCCTGTTGTCCCCAAACTTACCTTTTACCTTGTCTTCAAGCCTTCACTTCCCCAGTGGATTCAGAACCTATTGCTTATCTCATGGCCACGTGTTCCTGTCCTTAGATTCATGTTTTTATTCTTTTTTCTTTTTTAAGCACCTGGGGAGACAAGAGCTCCTGTTATCCAGGAGGCTACCACAGGGGCTGGAGCATTCCTGATGTCAGAAGTAAGTGGGCAGGTTGACTGACCACAGGCATCTAGAATCGGCATGAACTCCAAGATCTCATCTACTCAGGACTGGTTTAACAGCCGCCCACCCACCACTGAGCCTGACCTGGAGTCTACCACTGATGGACCCACCTCTGAGACCCTCAGTTCAGAAGCCACAAGCTTCAATGACACCAGAATCCCTGATACAGCTAGTGGTGCAGCTGGTGTGGGTACCATGCTTCTGTCCTTTGGAATCATCACCGTGATTGGCCTGGCTGTGGCCATGGTGAGAACTGGAGTGGGCTGGGGATGGCCCAGAAAATATTGCCTTGGAGAGGGGTAGTAAGTGTTTAGGTTGGTAGAAAATCCAATCAGAAGACAATTGTCCATTAGCTCTAATGCGATCTATCCTCCTCAACTTCCTGAGATTTGTCAGAGAGGCAATTCTTCTTGAAAGAACCAGAAATGGTTCTGTAGACTACATGGTATTTTAAGCTGGGCAATGAAGGCCACAGAGATTTGGAGAGAAGGGTGTTCCTGGATGAAAAGTCTTGATAGCAAAATGTGGAGGGAAGCAGGAGGGTCTATGAGCAGCAAGCAGGATAGTGAGAAAAGTGGGTGTGCAGGTTGCAATAGAACTAGGGGCCCAGGGCTGGTGAGATGGCTCAGTGGTCTAAAGCATCTACTTAGAACAAGCTAAGCTAAGCAAAAGCACAGCGACCGCGGTTCTAATCCCCAGCACCACATGCCAGCCAGCCCCGCCGCCTGGTGGGCTGAGCTGGCCACACACACACACAAAATAAATAAATTAATTTAAAAAAAAAATAGAACTAGGGGCCCAAAGGTAGGTGGGATGGATTGTGGAACATAGAGTCCAAGGAGAATGCTGTGCATATGGTAGGCTGTTGGCAGTGTTCATTCATGTATGCACTTGACAGATGTTGATTGGATATCTGCCCTAAGCCTGGCCTCCATGCCTTGAGAGGAGCAGACTCAGGCAGCTGTCAGAACAGAACTTGGGAGAGGGCTGTATTTGTACCCCTACAGTGATACCTAGGTACTCACAGTGTACTGAGGGACTACCAGAGATTGTACAACTGAAACTAGAGAACATAGAAGTGAACCTGAGCTCCCCCCGCACCCCCGATGACCTGGCTGTGGTGGTATTCTGCCCATTGCCTCTTGCAGGCTAGAGTTGCTGGCCTTAGGCTCAGAAGCATGTTGCTGTGACAAATGGGCTGAGATCATCTCCCCGTGGCCTGGCTGGAGCTACTGTTAAACTAGGGTTACCATATGGGCCCTGCAGGCCCCGGACTGCTGCCAGGGAGCAACTGCTGGCTGGTAAGCAGGGCCAGGATGTATCACATGCTGAACAAGGCCAGGGCTGAGAGGTCTCTTGGGGCAGAAAGCCAAGTGTTTTCCCTTGGCATCCACATGGAGGTTAAGTAGACCAAGGCACCCCAATCGCAGGGGCAAAATAACTAGAATCTGCCCTTGTTACTCTCAGTAAAATATTTTGTCTTAGGATCTTGGAAAAATTCACTTCCATTTATTCCAGGAGAACATTCAGCCATTCAGGATGGATGGCCTTCCAACCGAAGGTGAAGTGAGAGGTTGTAGGACAAAAGCAGTGGAGAACAGGAGACAGCTCCAGGGCAAGGGGACTAGAAGTTTTCAGGTGCTGCCTGAGAGCCAGCCCTAAACTGGACCCTTCTCCAGCCCGGGCACAAGAAGAAGGCTAGTACCAGGCTCAGGTTTTACACAGGAGAAAAAAGAGTTTGGTGTGGGTAGGACCAGTGAGGGAGGCTTTCTGAAGCAGGGAGGAAGCTTCAGACTGGAAGCGGGGTGGGAGCTGGCAGTTGTGACACGAGAGCAAAAGGATAAAGGAGTGGAGATGGGAGGGAAGCCTTTCCTGTAGATACTTCTGAGCCAGGGGCTTGGGGAAGAGACATGAGGGAAAGAGGACACAGGGTACTGCAGTGAGAGCAGTCTGTATGGGGTCTGCAGGGCCTGGCTCAGAAGAGCCCAGAGCTCCTCTAGTTTCTACCCCCAGGACAGCAAAGGAAACCCCCAAACACGGACCCCTAAAGAGAATGGGGAAGGAAGGAAAATGTTACTTTCTTTTTAAGCTTTTAGGGTCCTGGAAAAGGAACTCTGGGCTAGGCTGGGAACTAAACTAAACATCCATGGGCTCCAAACAGCCAAGGGCAGGATGTAAGAGGAGCTGATTCCCAAGAGCACAGAAGGTTTGGGCCAGACTCAGGCTGTGGCTTTCCCAGGCAGAAGCATTAACACTTCTGATAAGCAGAAACTGCTGATCTGGGGAAGAGCGGATGGTGGCAGAGGTGCTTGGAAACCCTGCACACGGTAGTCTGAGTCTTGACCTTTCCTCTCCTCAGGGCTTGATAGAAAGCTTCCAGGTCCACTCAGATTTTTTTTTTACTGTCCAGCTCTTCATGTCTATATAGTGACAGCCAGGACAGGAGCCTTCTTAGGTTCCTCTAGTGTCAGAGTTCCAGGGAGTTAGCCTGGGCTGCTGACCCTGAGGGTCGTCAGCCTCCCATGAGACCATTCCCAGAGCCTTATGTAGAGCTTCTGTTCCGAGAGTGTGGCCATAGCCAGTCAGCTGTGCCTTTTACCTGTTTGTAGCTCTGGGCCTGGACCCTGAGGAGTCACAGCTGGGTGCTAAATGGCCAGACACAGTCACAAATACAATAACATCCCTCCCCCTCTCATCCCACTAGATGATTCTTGCAGGCCAGGCTCCTAAAGGCAGGTCTGGCCCCCACCTCTGTTTCCACAAGCCCTGGCTGGGCACTAACAGCGCTTAAAGACTTCAAAAAGAGGCATGAATAAGGGATGTCTGTGTCCCTGACATCCTTGAGGATGTCTGTGTCACATCCTTGAGGATGTGGGACCCATGGTCTCTCACCTATCAGCCTCAAAATGCCATGCATCTTTGCGGCCTTATCCGGTTAGCTGAGGCCTCCTTTCCTCGCCATCTCATGCTGCTCCTTCTCTTGCAGGTTTTCTACATCAGGAAGAAGAAGAGGTAATTTCCCAGCTGCCACCTGAAACTCCAGTCAGTGGGAGGTGCTGGACTGGGCACCAAGGGACATGGGCTCCTCTCCCTGGGCAGATAGTCAGGACCTCTTTTGTTCACTCAGGGATCAGGGTGACCACTTCCCCTCAGAAAAGGGTGAGAGCCCCCACCAGGGTCTCATCCACAGGGTAGGATGATTAATAACAATTAAAATTGTAGGTAACCAAGTAACCCTTAAATTGGGATGGGGAGAAGAAGAGGGAAGGTGAGAATTACCTTCACATAGCTGCCTGGGTATTCTTGCCTTACTGCCCCGAATTGACTGCCACTGACTCCCCTCCCCCAGCCCATCCCCCAGAACCTGTGGATTATGGCAAGACTGTCCTCAAGCTGTCCCTAGGGGTCTCACAGCCAGCAACCTCATAGCCCATGGCTCTACCTAAGCACAGAATCACTAGTTGTTCCTTTCTAGGCCACCTATCTGGTACTATGGTTGTGACTGTAGACCCTAAAATGTGTGTCATTGAATTCCAAGGGAAGTCTTGGGCCCCTCAACATGGTTGGGGTCTGTGGCCCAACTAGCTTGTAGGCAGGGCTTGGAGGGCTATTAGGAAAGAGAGGAAGGGCCTGCCATGCCCCCAAAAATCCTCTGCTCCCACCTCCAGGCTGGAGAAACTACGCCATCAGCTCATGCCTATGTACAACTTTGACCCCACGGAGGAACAAGATGAACTGGAGCAGGAGCTGCTGGAGCATGGGCGAGATGCAGCCTCTTTGCAGGCCATGCAAAGCAAGGTGGGCATTGACCAGGCTCCCCCCACCCCACTGCCTGCGGGCCCTGTGTCTCCTGTACCTTACCTATTACCCTTTCCTTTAATCCTGCCAGCACCTGTGAGGTGGTCAGGTGGCAGCCATTGGATATTTGGGTCTTGTTGGGTTTGTTCAGAAAGTGGTAGAATTAATTGTTTTGTGGCCATTCACAGACTCACTCCACAAGGCCAGGCCCAGGGTAGCCCCGAGATGCGGCTTGTCTCTGTCCTAATAGCTCTCATCTGCTGATCTTAGATGTCCCATTGGAATTTCTGAGCCTAGTTTTCTCATCTTCTAATGAAAATCCTATTTCTGTACTGTGTATTCCCACATACACTAGTGGGAGTACATGGGAAAGCCAGAAAGGACTAATAGCATAGATTGTTGGGGGCTGGGACCTTGGGTTCCTCTGCTCCCTGAGGGTCCATGGTCCCAAGTTGATTGCAGATAGGGTCAGGCTCTTGAACAGTGACATCTCCAACTAGATTGGTGGATTCCTAATCGCTGTCAGACCCCAGGCCAGTGGAAACCCCAGCCAAGCTCACCCCTATATTCCAAAGGGATAGGTCCCCCTGTTAGCATCCTGCCAGAGTCACTGGCTGTCTAATCACTCACCACCATTCCCTCAGATCACCCAGGACCAGCACATCATGCAGAGACAGGACCACCCCTACCCCATCAAGCCTCTTTGCATCTTTCTGGGTTCAGATGAGTTCAGTCTAGGAGTCAGAGGACCTTTTGGTTTTGCTGCCAGTTTTGTGTTATCTAAGTTAAGACATATTGCATCCTTGGGTATTCAGAAAATCACACTGTGGACCTTGGTCCACCCAGCCTGCTGGACTGTAGTCCTCTGACAATTTCTCACGAACCTCCCTATACCTGTCCCACTGTTGGGGTGGGGCACAGAGGTAAGGTATCCCCTGCTAGGAGAAGGAGATGCATGCATAATTAGTTCTTCAGAGAGCCCACAAAAAGTGCTGCCACGGTGACAGGGCAGGCAGGGATGGCTTTTGGGGGAAGAGTCAGCCCAGGCACGTCTCAATTCTAGGCTGAGTTTACAGAGAGGGCATTCCAGGCAAAAGCAGAGCTGGTGCCAAACAAAAGGTTGCTCCAGGAAATGAGACTGGAAGTGACTGGGCCAGAGAGTGCATGACCATGGTCACGGTCCCTGATGCCCCTGCCTGTGTCCTTGCAGAGCACTCTCCCCTCCCAAGGACCTCTGCAGAGGCCCAGCCGACTGGTGTTTACTGATGTAGCCAATGCCATCCATGCGTGAGTGGCCCAAGGACAGGCCTGAACCTCTGGTAAAAGACACCTGCTACAGCGCCCACAGAGCTGCCCACTACCTGATTGTCAAGACCTATTCTCAGGACCTGACCTGCCAAGACAGGAAAAGGCTGGCCAGCCCCAGCTGTTCTGCTGACCCACCTGCTGACTCTCCAGGCCAGCCATCTGGCCACTGACCTCTTCTGCCTGACAGCCCTAGCACAGAGGGCATTCTCCATACTAGGCAGATCCAGAGCCCACAGCTGGCTTCCTTACCTCCTGGCCACACCCCTCACACCAAGGTCTGCTTCTCTAAATTGGAAGAAATGGAGAGAGACATGGGCTGGGAGGGGAATAGGGATATGGGATGTGGCTGTCCTCTGCCAGGGGGAGACATTGTTTCTTGAATCTAGGGCTTCCTCTGGAGTGGGGGGAGAGCATTCCAGGCAAAAGCAGGGCTGGTGCAAAACAAAAGGGATGGTAAAAGGCCACTACCCAGGTCATGGAAACAGGGTAGAATAGCACCTGTTACAAGCCCTGAGATGCGCAAGATGGAGCTGAAACTTCCCAGTAGACAAGATGCCAGTGAGAAGGGCTGCTCATACCCAAGGTCCATGCAAATCACAGAACATCCATGGGGTCTCCCAGCCACCTATCCTTGGAAGTCAGCTGTTTGCTGTGCCCAGAGAAGGATAGAAGCTGAGGGAAAAGGAATTGGAAAAATTATGTGGAGGGATACAGGTTGGAGACCTGCAGAGAGGCCTCACACTCCCATACAAATGGGTCCACAGACAGATGCATGCCTGTCCCAGCACGGGGTAGGATGGAGAATTCTGCATTGGCTCTACACTCCAAGCCCACCTCCATGCCGTGCATGTAGTGGAGGATCACATAGGCCACTTCCTCTGACTTCCATAATCAGGGGTAACAAGGAAGAGGGAAGTAAAGCCAGGTTCTATCATCCACAACATTTCTTCACTGGGCTCTATGAGATGACTCTGGAATCTGGTCTCAAGGAAAGGTCTGAGGGCAGGGCCTAGGCTGTAGGCTGGTGAGTAGTCCCTTCTACTTGAGAGGGGGTCCACTTTGGGAAAAACACGTAGGATGCCTAGCCCATGTTTTCATCTTCCCCCATCTATATGGGAAGGGCTTCTCAAGAGTGGAGAAGAGGATCTCTGCCCTTGGCCTCTTTAGCATTGGAGGGTGGCAGCTCATGCCAGTGGCATCTGGGAAGGTTGTTGAGTAGGACAGACCTCAAGGGTTGGGTGAGTCTTCTACACTAAGCATGCATGCACTCATGGCAGTGCACAGAGACATGTCCCCATGCCCTGCCTCACGTCACTGTCTTGCCCTGCTTGGAGAGGACACAGGCTGGCACAAACGGATCTTCCGTTGGCTGTCGGCAGATGACAGCTTAGGAGGCCCTGTGGGGAAGGTTCTCAATTTATTCCCTCCTCTAGATACTATAAATATATTAGCACTTGAGCAACTGGAGGGCTGCGGGTAATTTAGGATGCACAAAAAGCTGTAATTTAACTCACAGTATCTCTATGTGAGAGCATTAAAGATGTAATTAAGATGTTTACATGAAGAGAGTGGAACCTGTGACACTGGGGTGTGAAACCTCAGGAGGGGACACGATGGGGAAGGGCTTGGGAGACCTGGGATAGCCACTTGGATCTCAGCTATAAAGCAAAATTTCATTTGGCTTTCCTTCATCTGTCTGAGAAAAGCCTTCTGGCCCCCAATTTAAAGCTGGAGTCTTTCTTATGGCTCAGCTGTGGACTGGGGCCACATTGCCTCCTAGTTCCTGTTAGGTTTTCTGGTGGCAGTAAAAAGATAGGAAAGCTAAAAGAAGCCTTTATAAACTTTAAAGACACGGAAAGGATTGAAGGCAGACGGGGGATCCTCCGACTAAAAAAGCCAGGACTTCTATGGATTTTTGCTCGGTGGAGCTTGAGGGGCAGGTTTAGTGACACCTGAGGAGCTGACTGGGGGCTCTCCTGTGTGTGCAGGAAAGTGAGAAGACACTGTATACAGGACTGGGGTGGGGAAGAAGGGGGAAGTGGTCCTTGGGAAGCTGTTTTAAAGGCTTCAGCCATGTTAGATGACCAGCATAACAATTCAGCCATTCATAGTAGGACCAGAACCTATCACTTGCTGGGCTGGAGAGGACTTTGTGGGACCAAAGGAGGGAGGAGGCTTCAGCCCCAAGGATGGGGCTAGGGGTGGGGAATAGGTGAGAGCTGGGAAGCCATTAGGGCTGTGTATGTGGGACTCACCTGTGAGATGCAGAAAGTTTTGGAAAAGAATGACACTAGGACAATGATCCTGGTTTTCTCAGGAATGTCCCAGTTTTTAGCACTAAAATTTCCTGAAGCCAGCACTCTTAAATGAGGCTCCAGAGAGCTGAGCCTCAAACTAACATGGAAACAAAATTGGGGGAGACCCCAGGCCTACAATGGGAGCAAGGTGCTGGATAAGACCTCAGGTAAAGCTGAGAACCAAGCACCTCATGGGCTGCCCGTGTGGGTCACAGCTAGGCCTAGCAATGGTGGCCTTGCTCTTAGGAAGGAGTCTCCCCTCGGCAGACTGGCAGGACCCCTGAGGGCCTGAGGGTAGAGAAGTTGACTGTGTATTCCAGCCTACTGGGCAGCCCCTCAGCCTAGGAATATAGGAACTGCAGAGACCTGGTATCTAGGGACCCTGAAAGGAACAGAGCCTCTAGAGCAAAGACCCTATGCCTTTCTCTCTCACTGCCTGCCGCAGACCCCTTTCCTGATGGACACAGCACTGCTAACCCTATGGAAAGTCACCTCCTCTTCTCTTCTATCCACCTTTCATTTTCTAGCTCTTCTCCATCCTAGAGGAAAACCAAATTACCTTGAATGTGGAATTGATAAGTATTGGAGTGAAAGGCTTGACAGGTTTGACCTGAAGCCTGGGGAACTGACCTGGGCTCTTCTCACTGACCTCTGCTGGGAAGACAGGTGAGGTGGGTCACCTGCTGTCAGGGCCCCTGAAGTTCCCTGTTACTTGAAGCCTTCAAAAGACTCTCTCTCTCTCTCTCTCTCTCTCTCTCTCTCTCTCTCTCTCTCTCTCTCTCTCCCTCTCTCTCTTCTGGGAGTAACAACCTGTGATAGTAGCCAGAGCTTCATGCCGGAAGCAGTAGCAGTTTGCTGTACATGACATCTTCAAAAGAGAATCACTACCTAGCCAGGCATGGTAGCACACATCTGTAATCCCAGCACTCTGGGAAGCTGAGGCAGGAGGAACAAAAGTTTAAGTCCAGCCTGGGCAACTTAGCAACTTGGCAAGATCCTGTCTCAAAATGAAAAAAAAAAAAAAAAAACAAGAGGGCTGGCCTGATAGCTCAGCAGACTAAAGCGCCTGTTTAGACAGAGGAAGCTGCCAGGGTTTGATCCCCTGCGTGCTGTGCTGGCCCTGCCCACAGGGTGCACTGAGAAAGCGATTGAGATTGAGTGTGGTGGTGCACACCTGTAATCCCAGTGCTTGGGAGGCTCAAAACAGGAGAATCACTACGAGTCCAATCTATGTAGTGAGATCCTGTAGACCCTGTCCTAAAATACAAAAAAAAGAAAAAAAGAAAAAAAGAAAAAGAAAAGTAAAATAAAATAAAAAATTAAATAACTGAAGATGTAGCTCAGTATGAAGCTCCTAGGTATATTCAATCCCTAATACAGTACTACAAAAGCAAGGGCATCATCTTGTTTAATATGGTGAAGTGTCACCTTAAAGCCAAAGTGAATAAAGCAACCCCATCACCTGGTGGCGAGCAGACCGTGTGGGAGGCCTTCAGAATTCAGAGGAAAGTTGTAATGAGAAGAGCCCAGAGGCTCAGCACTGCTCTGCCCATGCTGTGGCTTCCTTCCAAAAGTGTGACTGAGCTAAGTACTATGGTTCATACATGAACCAACCTATACCTGTACTTCATCCTAGACAGGAGAAGATGTCAAGTAGAAAGAAAGAGGAGTGTGTGGATACTGTGTACGTGTATAGATACACAGGAGGCAGGGATGGGGCCAGGTATGCCTGGGTGGTGAGAGGCTGGGACAGGTACTCCTGTGCTTCTGTGTCCCTCAGCTGGCCTCTACTCAGAGGACCTTAGCTGAGGATATCAGGGGAAACCCTAAGAGAGGCTGGGCATCCCCATCACCCTGGCATCTGAGGACTCAGGACAGGGACAGCTGCAGGTGCAGCATCTGTGGCCACCCAGAGCACATTCTGGACATGCCGAGAAGTGACTGAGTGTGTGAGCATCAGGTACAGAAAGGGAAGGGAGTAAGAAAAAGAAAACGGAGACCCTTCAGTGACACAAAGCAGGATGAGAGCAGGCTGCCTTCCCACCAGGCCTGGATCTGTCCTTGGTGACCTATGCTCCCCATGCCCAGGGCTCCTTGAGCGTGCCCTATCGTGCCCTGCCCCAGGACTTTTCCTGTGGTAGCAGAGCAGGGCAGCTATCAGTGCTCTCCAGTGGCATCTGGGCGTCTCCCCCATACTGCTGATGGAGGTAGATGAGGGCAGCAGTGTGCAGGGAGAAACAAGTAGGGGAGGTGTTCCCCATTCCAGAGGGAAATCCACGATGAAAGCCTCCTTGCAGGAAAAGGTCCATGGCAGGAGTTGAGGACCTGGTGGCACTGAGAGCTGTCTGCAAAGAGGGCTTCCTTTTCCCAGTGTCTGACCCAGAAAGGAGTATGTCCAAGAACTTCCCTGGGCAAGGGAAGAAGCCCTGCTTCTCAAAATCTCTCCATCTGGCTCCACATGTACCTCCTCTTTCAGGGTTCAGCTGGAAAAGTGACCCTGTTGTAACCTGGCCAATGAGTACGGCAAGGGCTGGAACTGCAGTGTGGGCTAGGGCATCATGAAGGGACAGGAGCCCAGAATGTCTGGAGGGCTTATTGGTGCCCGACTGGGTACTCAGCAAGCCCTGCAGTTCCCCAGCAGTGCCCATGCCTGGGTGATGATATAGAGTTTGAATCTGAGGACAGAGGGGACAGTAGAGACAGCAGTTTCTCTCTCAGGGGGCGCCAAGGCCTTCCTTGATGAGCCAGGCGTAGCTCAGCCCACAGCTGGGGATTGGATGAAGACCTAGAATCCAGCTGGAGGGATGGGCAGAGCTGGGGCCGGTGTACCCTCCTGAGGGCAACAGGCTATGCCCAGGGACAGGGCAGGTAAGAAACTGCGTCCTCAGCTGGAGCCACTGGCAGGAAAGGCCCCAAAGCCCCTGACTTCAAGCTACCGTCATGGGGACTCTTGTGGCTTCTGTCTAATCCCTCAAAGCCTCATGCTCTTGCAAGTGGCACTTTTGGGTATTTTGTTGTGTTGTTGTTTGTTTATTTTTTATGTATTTGATACAGGGTCTCACTAAGCACCTCGGACTTGTAGTGATTCTCCTGTTTTCAGCCTCCCCAGCACTGGGATTACAGGCATGCTCCACGCTTGGTCTCACAGGTGGCGCTTTTAGAAATGACCGGATCATGGGTGTCCCATACTGGATTAGTCCACTGGTTGGTTTAGCATAGTTCTGGATGTGAGTGATGGACTTACTGAAGGGGAAGAATCCCCCCCAGGTGTGGATAGCACCAACCAATAGACTTGTAATCTGGATGGAATAAAAAGAGTAAGAAGATCGCACAACAGCATAAGCGCCTTCCTGGCAAGCACAAGGTCCTGAGTTCAATCCCTAGTACCAAAAAGGAGAAGGAGGAGGGGGGAAGAGGAAGAGGAGGAGGAGGAGGA